TCCTCCAGGCTGACGTACAATCATAGGTCACTGTAACCTCAAACTCCCAGGCACATGGGATCTTCCTGCCTCAGCCTCCCAAGTAGCACATGCCACCATATTCGGCTAATTTTTTTATTTTTTTGTAGAAATAGGGTCTTGCTGTGTTGCCCAGGCTGGTCTTGAATTCCTAGCCTCAAGCGATCCTCCTGCCTCAGCCTCCCAAAGTGCTGGGATTATAGGCGTGAACCACTGGGCCCAGCCTAAGAGTCATATTTAAATAATACCTCTTCTCAAAACTGCTCTTCAAAGACTTCGTATTGCTCTTAAAATCTAAACCTCTTAACGTGCCTAGAAGCTCCTGCGTGCTCTGGCTACTGTCTGCCTCTCCAGTCTCATCTCTGGGCTCATGCTATACCAGTATTTTTTTCAGCCTTTCAAATATGGTAAGCCCTTTCCCACCTCAGGACCTTTGCAAATGCTGTTGCTTCTACGTGGAATGCCTTTCCCTCCCTGTATATACCCCTTGATTAATTCCTACTCATCTATCAGGTATCAGCTCAAATGTGACATCTTTAAAATGGCTCTTCTGCAACCCCCACCCTTAAATCAAGTTTCTGTCTTCACTGTTACTTTTTTCTTTGTAGTACTTTTATTTTGCCATTTATTACTTTCTATCTCTTTCCTATTAAACTGCTAGACTGTAAGCTTCATGGGCACAAAGATATTCTCTGTTGTGTGTACCTTTATATACTCATTCCCCACCACAGTTCCTGGGATATATTAGGTGCTTAATAAATATTTCCTCAATGAAAACGTAAATGCTGTACATCTATTAATTGCTCATTAAATTGCTTCATGATGAAAAAGTCTGATGATATGGCAAGGTAAATATTGAATTTGATTTAAAGACCTAGAAATGTAGGATTAGAAATAACTATTTGTAACATCTAATGTAAGTTACACTAACATTCTTTTAGGGCTGCCCCTTAAGCTGCTGCTTTCATGAATATCGCATCTTATTTTAAGAGAGCAAGAGATTCATTTCGCTTCCACTCCTTTTTTTCCTTCTTTGCCAGCATAATGGCTTGTAGCCTTTTTATATTTGAGATTGACAGTAGTACCATTTGATAAATAGAGGCCCAGGAAATCTAAACAGGTGAAGCATACACAGTGTATTACTGTTGTTACGTTCTTGTCTTTTGGTATATTTTTCTTTCATTATTTTCTGTCATAAGATAGATTTTGATGCAGCAACAGTGTATTACATGCTTTTTTTGTCAAAGAAAAAAGATATTGCTACTATTAACTCTCACTGAAAATATAGTTGTATTTATTTTATTGACC